AACGACCAGAGGCAAATCCGCACTGGCCGAATGAAATCACCGTGTCCGAGTGCACACCAGAGATCCTGGGAATTTTAACAGGTCTTCATCAGTTAGAAGTAAGCGACTCCTGGGGTTGTTCAGCCTGGTGAAGAGAAGGCTCCGGGGAGACCTTAGAGCAGCTTCCAGTGCCTAAAGGGGCCTACAGGAAGTCTGGAGAGGGACTTTTAACAACGTCATGACAGGACAAGGGAAAATATCTTTAAACTTGAAGGTGGATTTAGATTAGACATCAGGAAAAAATTCTTCACAATGAGGGTGGTGAGACACTGGCACAGGTTGCCCAGAGAAGCTGTGGCTGCCCCATCCCCGCCCGTGGTCAAGGTCAGGCTGGACGGGGCTTGGAGCCACCTGGTCTAGTGGAAGGTGTCCCTGCCCGTGGCAGAGGGGTTGGAACTAGGTAGTCTTTAAGGCCCCTTCCAACCCACCCCATTTTATGATTTGACATGTGTGATTTAGATACACAATCCATAAGCAAAGAAATCAAATTATCATTCTGATACAACTTTGTTGAAACTGGATTCAAGAGCACAGGCAGTGTAACTCACTTTACATTATTGGGCTGCAACTCCACGAGCTCAGCCCAGTGAGGATCATTTCCCTGTTCTGGAGTGTGCTTCCCATAAGGCAACCCATCCCCAGGTAACATTCTGCTTTAACATGAGTAAAGAGACTGGGCTCCTCAGCTACAGGTGCAGTAGAAAGCTGCCATGACGTCTGCACACTCAAGCCTAGCTATGGAAAATTTTTATGCCTTAGAGTAGGCATCCTAGCTCATCCTGTTTGCCTAAGCAAGACTTTTGTGAACTTGCTCATTCCTTTTGTATTTGTTTGGTTAGCTTGGTTTTGGTTTGGGTTTTGGCTGTTTGGTTTTTTTAATAAAATGTTAATATCATGGCTCAATATACTTCCAGATAGAAAGCAGAATAGAAGATTGTTACAAAAAAATTTTCATGTAGTGTATGTAAACAACAACAAATAATACAAACAATTCCTCTCCTGAGATACTCGTATTTCACTTTTGTCTCTTCTTATTCATACATTCATTCATCACATCTATTAATTCACCTATAATTCTGTAATGGCCTAGGAGTTCATCAAACATATTTTCTTTCCCTGTAACTAGGTATGTACCCTAAACACCAGAAAGTGTAATAAAGCAGTCATTTAGTAATTTTCATTGTTCAGCATCTCACTGTATATTTGTTTTCATTGAAAACTGGATTCATTGTATAAACCACAAATTATTAATTCCCTCTCTGATCAACTCCTGCAGAACAGCTAAGGAATCTGTTACGAAGATTAACTTAAAAACATACGTGCTTGGGCCAGTGATTGTCAACCCCTTCAATGCCCTTCAACCCCAAAGTACATTTGAAAGATGTCAGCGCATCCTTTTTCTTCTAAAAACCGATATAGCTGCCCCAAATCCATATGATTGCCTTTGGCACCATGTGCATCGAAACATTTTTCTTCCAAAGCGGAGAACTTCCTTTGTTTCTGAATCTCAGCATGTCCTCCACCTTCCAAAGAAACATCTTCTCTGTGCCGAATGAGAATTCTTTTCCATGTTAATCTTCTCACTCTGAAAGAAATTGGAGAAATATGAATGTGCCTATGAAATAAGACTATTTTAGAAATACTATGAAATAGCTATTATCACAGAAGTCAACAAATTCCATTTGCACCTATATCTTCACAGAGATAATGGTTCCCTGGCTGGTCAGAGAAACACTACTCACATGCAAACACTTCCATAAGCAGGAACTTGTTTCTTTGTATTGCCTTAGGATTGAAAAACCTTAATGTTACTTTTCACAAAAAAATTGATGAAGATGTGGTTTCAATTTTAGTGCTCACTTCTGCCTTGCCTGTGCTATGAATTCTCATATTCTCCTACTCTCTTACTGTTACAATCAAATGACAACATTCATTTAGTCTGCACCACCCAGAAATATAAATGATGGGAGCAGAATAAAACACAAATGCAGAGCAATATAACAACACACATATCTAATGCGACTAGGGTACTGCAGTCCATTGCTACACAAGTGAAATACAGAGGAAGATAAAACAGAAAAAAATAGGCATTGTGTGATACTAGCAGCTTTGATTTCTGCAACCAATACTACAGTGGATATTCAGAGTAGGAAATACATTATGTTAAGTATACATTATGATAAGTACACATTCTTTGCAAACCTTCACAGGCCACATATACAACATGAAAAATGTAATATTCTAACTACTAATGACATTTAAGAACAAAGAAAGACTAACCTTGACCAGAACTCTTCACAACTACTTTGTAGACCTTCTACACAAACAACACCTGGTTTCCCTGGCATGCAAAACCCTGACAGAGAGAGCTCCCTGGCCCAGTCAATAATATTCTTTCTTTTTTGCTTGTTGTAAATGTGATGACTATAGATCCAAAGTCGAGTGAACATGATGACTTCTGACTGAGTGGCATTTGATGTTGTCACTGAGGAAGATGAAAGCTCCTTGTCAATGTAAGCAGCTGCATGGTCTTTAACCCATTCCCTTGCACTCAACATGCAGGGCTCACCACTGCAGTTTTGCGTCAAGTAAGTTTTTAGATCCAAGTTCAGGTGAAGCTGCTGAGAGCGGCTCAGTAACGATGACCTAAAGAAAAATATAAATGCAGTTGTAATACGCTTACAGTTTAGCATGTTTTTTGAACAGTTTTACTTCAAGCTGCCAAGAAAACCCAGGCTGCATTTAGATGGTATATACTTACTATTATTTAAGTCATATTAGCTATGAAAAGGTCTTAATCAGTACTGAACCAGTGTGCCGACTCTTTGAGTTCACACATACTACTACCAATCTGTAAATCAAAATCAAGGAAAATGTACTTGAAAAGTCAGAATGGTGGCTAAAGTGACTTCCTGCAATACGCAGGGCTACTTCTTTAAACAGGTATGTTCCAATAAAAAAAATAACAGAAGCCTGGGAGAGACAGCATTTTGACAAGGGAAGAATAAGACCAAGTAAATTTTTATTCCTTTGGCTAGTGTTAATCCTTGCCAAAGTGGACAAGTCTCTCTTCTTGAGCATCAAACCTATGAACAGTATCTATGTGTAATCCCTCTGTACAGAAGATGGCACTCCATGCTTTTCCTATTTTTCTCACTTACTTGTTGAGGATACCAGAGAAATCATAACCTTGTAGATTTGTTTTTCTTCAACACTGTGGTCCTTCTGGCTTAATTTGACAGTAAACTTCCAAAACGGGACTGCCTTTTCTTTTTATAACTATCTATGTAGTACACCATAGCTTCTAAATGTTTTTGTTACCTGGACTTTTAATACCATACCTCACAGTAATTTCTGGTAGAACAGCTGGATATTTAAACGGTAAAGCACAGGCCATAGAGAATTCCACCTAAAAAAAACCCAAAAAAACCGCAGGTGTTCAGATCAAGTAAGCCCTAAAACCTCACAAAATAAAATAAAGTATGCGTTTACCATACCATAGGGGCATTAGAGACCTCTGGCTTTATGTTCAGTATAAACTGAACTTTTGAAGATGGCATCTCTGCAGACTCATTCTCAACATAGTGTTTTAGCTCCGCTACAGCTAGCTGGTCAGTCACAACGAACTCTTCCTCATAAGGAAACATGCTAGAGAGTAAATCTAATTCTGAAATTTGTATCTCCGCTTCTTCTCGGTTAGTCATTTCTGTTGACTCCTAAGCAAAGAGGAAATGAGAGAAGAAAATAAGGACTTGAATACGGGACAAAGTTCATTAACTACCCCCATCAAATCATATTAATCTTTATAATCAAGCCTTTCGAAACTAGCTCACGCATGCAAGCAGTTTAGGAGCACGAACGCACTCTGTGACAGTCCGCGAGGTTTCCACAGACCTGAGACAAGGCAGGATGCGGTGCTGTGCCAACAAACACATTTCCCCCTCACAAGGCCGCACTCCTGGAGCGGAGCCGCCTCTGCTGCTGTGACGGCCACAAAGAGTTGGACGTTACTGCCCAAGCCCCAGCCAACATCCCCCAGCACACATAGCTCACCCGGACGGAAGCGACCGAAGAGAGGGACCGGAGGCGTGAGGTACTTGCGCACGCGCAGACACG